TTGTTACATTTCTTATTTTGAAGATCTTCCCTTATACTCTATAAATACAAACCCTGTATTGGTAATACACTTATTTGCCTTTAAACTTTATAAAATCTTTTGCCAAAAAATGTTTAATCTTTCTTAGTGAAATATATCTATGTCTCTTTATTTTCTGTGTATCCTACCTCACATAAATGTATTGTGGATCTGTAAAATACAAACATCCATATGTATATAGGATCCTAAAATTTTTCTTACTGTTTCTATTTTTTTCTTTTAAGATTAATGACTCAAACTTTTCTCATGAATGGTTGCTTATAAATCCATCTGCTTTTGTTTTTTGTGTTTTTTGTGAAGGACAGTACTTCTTGTCTTTTTTTTGTGTGCTCTGGACTTCTTTGAAAATCTGATAAAAGCTATGAGCTTTTCCCCCAGAACAATGTAAATACCTAACAGTAGCATTTGCATATATTATCAGAAGCTTTGTGGACTTTTGATTGTAGTCAGTGGATAAGCTTCTTGATTCCATTTCAGAGAAATAATTCCTACTTAAATACATATTATTCTTTTATTTATCCATTAGAGTGACATCGTGTTGACCCTTATACATTAATTAATTTGGTTGATTATTGCCAAGACACAGAGGCCTCAAGTAATTTATATACTTAAAAGAGTAGTGTTGGTTGTATATATAGGGCAGGCCCAGAGAAAATTCATTGTTATATCAGACATTGTTGTAGTTCTTTATATCAACTATAGAGACCTAAACTACTGTGTCAGTTCCTGGAACTCATTGCCATTCAAGAGCCTTGGACACAGTAAATATATAACTTAGTTGATTAATCAGATTTTTTTCCCCCTAGGGATGATTTCTGTCAAGTAGTCCCTTCATCTTAACTGTTTTACCAAAGTTATACAATTCCCTTCAATCTTTTTAGACACTAGTCTCTCAGACCTTAAAATTTGTGTTCATCCCAAAATTAAATAAGCCTATAGAAATCTCTATAATTTCAATTTTCCCTCTGCCAATAAAATGCTATTATTTTCTCTTCCTATATAGCATTCCTAGGAACAAAACTATCTTTGCATTTTTGGATTTAAAAGTATGTGGAACTAGAGAAAGAATGGGTTTTATTCTTCTTTCCTCTCCATTTACTCATAGTCTTATTGCTTTAATCTATGTTCAGTTTTCACCAGAATAATGGAATTAAGCATTACTGTCTAAGAACACACTCATGAGTTCAGACAAACCTGGATTTGTATTCTTGTACCACTTACTCATTTGTGATTTCTCTGATCCCCCGATTTTCATTTTTATATTTTAAAGAAAATTAGATACGGGAAACTATAATGTGTAAGTGTAATGCTCTATATGAAAAAGGTATTTTTTTGGCAAAAATTTTTTCTTTCGAAACTAAGTTTCTAAAAAAATTATTTTAAAAAATATGTATTGTTGAAAATATTACATATGTCCTCCTTTCCCCCCATTGACCCCTTCTAGCCCACCCCCACTCCAGGCCTTCACCACACTACTTTATGTATCCATGGGTTATGCATACAAGTTCTTTGTTTGATCTCTTCCTACCCACCACCACCTTAACGCTGAGGTTTTATGATTAGTAACAACCTGCATGCCAAATGAAATAGTCTTTCTCAATTCATATTCACTTAGAGCTCTCTGTGCTATTCAAAACGTATCAGTAATTGCTTATTGAAATTTCATTCCACTGGGTTCTACAGGACACCTACTACACAAGGCCACTCTACTAATTCCAGCAAACATAGTAGCTCTACCTAATACATAGAAACACATACAGGGAAGCAACCAAAATGCAGAGACAAAGAAAGATATCAAAAAGGAAAGAAACGGAATCAAGCAAACTATAGAGTTCAAAATAATGGTTAATGAGAGCTTCAAGGAACTTAGTGAGACTTACAAGGATCTTAGAATTTCAAGACATGAAAAAGGACCAGTCAGGAATTGAAATAAAGAATAATTTACAGGGATTCAAGAATAGAGTAAAGGATTATGAGAATCAAATCGATGTGAAATATGAGGAAGTAAAAAAATCCAATCATAAGTGCAAAATAAAAAACAATGCAAAAAATATGAAAATAGTGTAAGAAGCCTCTGGGATAACATCAAGCATATGAATATTCGCATTATTGGGGTGACAGAAGGAGAAGAGAGAGAGCAAGATATTGAAAACTTATTTGAAGAAATAATGACAGAAAACTTTCCCTGGTAGAAGAAATAGACTTATAAGTCCAGGAAGCACAGAGAGTCCCATACAAGATGAACCCAAAGAGGCCCACACCAAGACACATAATAATTAAAATGCTAAGGGCTAAAGACAAAGAGAATCTTAAAAGCAGCAAGAGAAAAGCACTTACCTACAAGGGAGTGCCCATATGACTGTGAGCTGATTTTTCAACAGAAACTTTGCAGGCCACAGGCAGTGGCAAGAAATATTTAAAGTGATGAATAGCTAGGACCTGCAAACAAGATTACTCTACCCAGCAAAGCTATCATTTAGAATTGAAGATCAGATAAAGAGCTGAACAGATAAGAAAAAGCTAAAGGAGTTCACCACCACCAAACCAGTTTTACATGAAATGTTGAAGAGTATTCTTTAAGAAGAGGAAGAGGAGGAAGAAGAAAATGGCAATAAATGTATATCTATCAACAGTTGAATCTAAAAATCAAAATAAATAAGTCTAATGAACAAAATAAACTGGTGAATGAAATGGAATCATAGGCATGGAAACATGGAACAGACTGACAAATCTCCGAGGGAAAGGGGGAGGGGAGGCAGGAAGAGATTAACCAAAGATCTTATATGCACGTATGCATGACGTATGGACACAGACAATAGGGTGGTGAAAGCCTTGGGATGGGTCAGGAACTGGGTAGAGGGGGGCAATTGGGAGAAAAAAGGGGGACATCTGTAATACCCTCAACAATGAAGATTTTAAAAAAGTACGAGTAATTGCTTGTTGAAGTGTCATTCCTCTGTGGTTTCTATTGACATTGTGTACCCATGGTTTTTCTTCTTCCTGTCTACCTTTATGACAACTCTTCTATTAGACTCTACTAATATCCTGTAAGAGAAGTTCTTCCTAACTGAACAGGATTTTCCATTGCCCCTACATCATCATATGATGATCATTTGTTGCACTTGGCTTTTGCTCTTGCTGTTCTTTTGACGGGAATGGCTTTCTGCACCCACCTCAATCCTGTCTATCCACGAGGAATGGATCTCCTTGAGGCATATCCCAGCCTCTCTAATCCAGTTGTCTCCTTTCTGACTGGTCATAGATGAAATGAGAATCTGTATGTGAAATTAATTTTTAAACAATAAAATGTTACATTTTTGATATTGAGTTACTATTTGATACTCCGGATATTATTGATATTTAATTATTTTCATACATATCCCATATACTGCTGCCTCTCATGGTGCTCGTTTTAAAGAGATTTTGGGAAGTCTCAGTTCTGTGATAGCAACTCTCTCCTTTGAAAATAAAAATAGGTTTAAAGTTTGTGTCAGAGTTTGCTTGGTATGTTAAATACACAGTATCCTTTGTGACATTCATATACAATTATTTAATGGTAACTGTTACAATCAGAAGTAGTGACAATAAACTAGCATCTATCCCTTAAGTAAATAAACCTTATGCCCTTAGAAATATTTAGAACCTGTTTTATTTGGCTTATGCTTTCCTTATTTGTCAGTTCTAATTGTTTAAGGAAAAGTAAAATAATCATTTAAAAACATTGGGTTGCCATAAGATTGTTTCTTTTTAGAGAGAACTTATTCATGATAATGAAGGACGAAAGAATTTGAACTAAAATTTTAAGAGGTTTTCTGTAAGATCTCTAGCCATTAGATTATTTTTTTTTTAACAAAAAGAGCTATAACCTGAGATTTGAGACTTCATCACACAAAAAAGAGAAAACTGTAACCCAGTACTGTTTTATATCAAATAAGGATTGACAACAGTGTTTTTATGCATCTGTTCTGCCCACATAAGAAGCCAGCTTTATCATCTGGATGTGTCCTGGGGCTGAAACTTTTTATAAATATAAGAATTTTGCTTTTTTTTTTTTTTAATGGCAAGCAGAATATGGTATCCAGCTGTGGATTTGCTTATATATTGTGTTGGCATTTTTTCTCTGGGCTTATTTTATACAGTATATGGCAATATGTTGTCATACAAATTCCATGATTAATGCTTATTTATGAAATCTTGTGTAAATATCTTAGAACTTAGTCAAACAATGTGCAAGTTAAAACATTTTTTTCTCTGAATATTGGAATGACAAATCCTAGGGAAATAGTAGGTTGGATGGTTTATGTTCTTTATCTATAGAAAAGTCTCATATTTAACATTTTTCCTTTACTATTCTATTATTTTTTTCACTTTATTTTGCTGGGCAAGAAGTCCAGTTTCAGATATATTCCCCTGAGAAATAGAATTTAAATGTAGGAATCAAATAAGAATGTTAATTATTTCATAAAACACCAAATAATCATACTTACTAACATATATTTGATTTCTAAATTGATTCTGTTAAGAGGCATTTCTTTGTGTTTGCTTTATTCATATGTAAAAAGAATTCTGTCCTGGAATAATCTGTTATATTAGCATTATTATCATAGTAGCATTATTTTTCTACGAAAATGCTAAATTGCTTATAAAATATCCAATTGCTAATGAGGCAGATTTCAAGTGTGACTAAAATCATTATATCTGTTTTAAATTCAAATCACGATAAAATGCTGAAAATTATAAATTTTTATATCTGAATTTTTTCTTTGTATCTCTTATTAGAATCATAGTGTGGTGATAAAATATTCATGATAATACATAATAATTGCCTATCATAGATTATAGATCATGATCAGTGATACATTGATATATATTCTTGTTTTCCTGGACTTGTTTTAATTTTCTCACATTAAGTCAGTTGTGCCTGGAAGTTGAAAGACTGTTTTCTCTTTTCTTCTGCTCAGGTGCAGCTGCTGTATGAGCTAACTGACATTATGCGTAAAGTGTGGAATAAGATTCAGAAGAGAGGCAGCCTCAGTGCTTCAGCCTATCCAGAGACCATGGCTGGGCCTGTTCCTAGTTCCCCAGTGAGAAGCAGTGTGGGCACAGCTCCTCCAGACACCAGCACATGCAGCCCATCTGCTGACATTGGAACTACTACTGAGGTAAGTGTTTCTGAAGAATTCTGTTACCAAATGAAGGGTGATATATAGCACAGAGTTCCCTGTCAGGAATGAGAATGGAGATGACCTCACCTCTGTGGAAGCTGGCAGGTTCAGAGGCTCCTGAGGAGATGGTAGCAGTGGCTGTGCATTTACTGTTCCTTTTAGGTCCAAGTATTTTAATCAGTTTCAGTAGGGAGTGAGGTAGTGCAGGAAGTGGGGGTGCTGTGAAATGGTAGAAACCGAGACACAGTAAAGTTATGCTTTCTCAGAAGCATGGAAACTTAGAAGGTTAGTGAAAAGAGGCTCATGCTCCCCTTCCTGTACCCTCTCGTCCTCTACCCCTTTTTTGAACCAGGGTGGTATTGTTATCTTTAGATTGATGGTTTTCAATTCTGTCAGACCCATAGTCCTCTCCTTTCTTCGGATCATCTTAAAAGCCTTTCTTTTTTCTTTAATCCTCACTCTAGGATATGTTTTTGTTGATTTTAGAGAAAGAGGAAGGGAAAGAAAGAGAGTGAGAGGGAAACATTGATCAGTTGCCTCCAGTATGCACCCCTATGGGAGACAGGAACCACATCCCCAAAGGATGAGAAATGGCAAAACAAACAAACAAACAAAACTGAGTAAACTGGAATAAAAGGAAATTGAGGAAACGAATAGAAAGAAAATACAGAGAGCTAATGAGAGTAGAAGGGACAGGAAAAAAAAAGTGGTTCAAAGACAAAAGGGTCTCCGGTTAAATAAGTTTGGAAACTACATCATTCAATAAAGTTTAACTGTTTTCTTTACTGCGGGAGATTTTGTATTCTATCAATATTCAATCTCTAAGAAAGAATTAACTGCTTTTACCCTGGAAGGGATATGGCCCGTTGACTTCATATGGGCACATTTCTAGATTCTACACCTATGCTTCATGGGGGAGGAGGGGCTGCAATCCCATTACTTAGGTCTTATGTTTCTTTATCCCTGTTCATTCCAAATCTTAAGAAACATAAGACCTAAGTAATGGAATTGTTTGTTTGTTTGGCCATTTCTCATCCTTTGAGGAGTGTTACAAACAGGAGATTGGAGTAAGAGAGGAGAGAGAGGTTGGTGTTTTTCTTTCTTGTTCCCTCCCACTTTGGTGCCCATTATAGAAAACATCTATGCTATTTCTTCAGTCTGGTGAAGCATTAGGAGATTATCCCTTTTGCTGAAGAAGCAGCTCTTTTTGGCCCGAGGCCTAGGCAAAGGACTCCTTAACTCGGTCTCTAAGCCTTGTCTCCAGTCCCTGAATGCCATTGTGCAACCCCTAAACCCTTACCAAACTGACACTTCCACTTGCCACCATGGGCTCACTTCCCACTCGTTACCCTCATTACCATGACGTAGTGTTTCCTCTTTATTTCTGATACTTCGAGATTTGCGTTTACTTCTTTCAAGGTTGGCTATTGAATTAGTCAGAAAAAGATAGCATTTTTAAATCCAGCAGTATAAGAGCGTTTAATAAAAGGAAATAGGTGTTGACTGGGAAGGGAAACCACTGGAGGTAGTACAGTATCTGGATCTACTAGCACTGGGATGTTGTTGCTACCACTAGGCTAAAGCCAGGGAGGGAGAGGTTATCAGAACAGGGAATAAATACCCTGACTTCTTTCTCCTCCCTCATTTCTGTCTCCTGGCACTGTCCCTCATTAGTTGAAGCCAACCAGAAAGCAGAGGACAAGAGTACAGATATATATTCATACAGGTTACACTCCCAGACACAGAGGTTGGAAAATGGTGGAGAATAGGTCCCAGTGGTAGGCAAACTGCAGCTCGTGAGCCACATGTGGCTCTTTGGCCCCTTGAGTGTGGCTCTTCCTAAGCCTTAGGAGTACCCTAATTAATAACAATGTGCCTACCTATATAGTTTAAGTTTAAAAAATTTGGCTCTCAAAAAAAATTTCAATCGTTGTACTGTTGATATTTGGCTCTGTTGACTAATGAGTTTGCCGACCACTGGCTAGGCCAAAGAAAAGACATACAGCACTTTCATGTACTAAAACAAATTCTTACTGTGTTTTATCCAAAATTTCTTTGCTTTTGTAGTGGAAAAGAAAAATGTTCATTTCAAATTAGTTTGCCATGTTGCTTGATTTAAAATAAAATGTCTTTAACATCATTGAGTACTAAGAACTGGTCTTTTAAATCTTGGTTTTTCTTTCTCTGTATCATTGATTAACTTTTTCTAATTATTTTTTGTGTGGTAAAATATAAGTACCTAAAATGCACTGTTTTAACCATTTTTATATGTACCATTCAGTGGCATTAAGTGTATTCATAGTGTCGTGTGACCATAACCACTATCCATTTCAAGAACTTTTTCATTATTTCAAACTAAAACTCTATACTCATTATAATGATGACTCCACATTCCCGTTCTCCTATCCCTGTTCCTGGTAACCTCTATTGTACTTTCTGTCACTTTGAATTTGCCTATTCTCGGTACCTCATATAAGAGGAATCATACAATAGTTCTCTGTTTGTGTCTGGCTTATTTCACTTAGGGTAATGTTTTTAAAGTTCACCCATGTAGTGGCATATGTCAGAATATCATTCCTGTCTATGGATTAGTACTGTTTTATTATATATATAATATTTTATTTATCCATTGATCTATTGATAGATATCTGGGTTGTTTCTACCTTTTGGCTATAATGAATAATGATGCTATGAACATTGGTGTACAAGGTTTAATAGACTTTTAATGATATAATTTTACCTGGAAGTAATTATATACATGTTATATGACTGTGTTTGACAAACCATTTCAAACTAATGTAATACCATATATGTTATTTTAATTTTTCTTTACCTGTTGAAATATGTTGATAACTGAGGCAGTTGGTATAACAATTAGGAGGTGGAGGAAAGAAAGTGAATCCAGAATCTTTAAAGATGCTTTATTCAATGCTGATTTTCTGACTCAAAAAAGCACATTTATGTCATTTTATTTTATTTTATTTTTTTAAATATGTTTTATTGATTTTCTACAGAGAGGAAAGGAGAGGAATAGAAAGTTAGAAACATCGATGAGAGAGAAACACCGATCAGCTGCCTCCTGCACGACCCCACTGGGGATGTGCCCGCAACCAAGGTACATGCCCTTGACCGGAATCGAACCCGGGACCCTTGAGTCCGCAGGCCGACGCTCTATCCACTGAGCCAAACCGGTTCTGGCACATTTATGTCATTTTAATGTGATTTGCTAGTATGGATGGTTTAGAATTATAGTGACACTTAATATTATCCCCAAATGTGTTCAAGCATGTTTCTAAGATTTGGCAGAGAATGTGGGTACCAAAAGGGGAAAAAAAGAAAATTAGAGTAATGTGTTTAGTTTCTATAGTAACCGCTCCAACAGCAAAATAGAATGTTAGTAATTTTCTCTAAGGTGTATTCCCCCCCCCCCCCCCCCCCCCAGAGAAAACTAGCTAAATTGTGTATGCTATTTCCCCACTCTTTGCCATAGATTCTCTCCTAAGAACTACCTTCCTCTGACTTTGGTATATAATTTTGCAGAATTTGACAAAGGAGCAAAGATGTTTCTCTTAATTCCATCAACTTACAGTTATATAATTGAATTGTTGGAGAGATGATTTCGACCAGCATCCTTATTTTATGTATTAGAAAATGGAAACACAGTGAATTGAAGTGCCACACATATTTGGAATTGGATCAGATTATCTTAATGTGATTCTAAGTTAATGGAATCTGTGAAGGAGACTTTGGGATCAAACAACTTGAGTTTTATCTCTTCAACTTATGATTACATTGTTTAACCTCTGTGCCACAGCTTCATCATCTATAAAAATGGGGATAATGTTAACCCCTAGAGTGCCGGGGAGCGCTACCGCGCTCCTCCTGCAGTGTCACTATTAGATGCTAGTAGTTCACTCTTTATGTGGAGAAGAAAATTTAAAAACCTTAACTCAAAATGCCTTGGCAATTTTAGCATAGTTCCTAGGATATTGGTTGGCACTCAAAGGGTTAATATCCATATTAACTGACAATGTGCGGTTTGTCCATATGCCCTGTGAGCATGCTATCCCTCTGTGTATATATGTGTTCTTAAATTTCAATAAGGTTTTAGTTTTCGTTATAAAGGTCTTACCCCTTTTATAATACATATAGTCTTTCATATTTGATATTTTTATTAAATTGAGATGATTATGTAGTTGGTTTTCTGCTTTATTCTTTTAATGTGGCTAATTATACTAATTGATTTTTCAAATATTAAGCTGATCTTGCATTTCTAGAATAAATCCTACTTGGTGGTGATGCTTTTTCCTTTTTATATCTTGCTGGATTGTATTTGCTAGTATTTTATTTAGGATTTTGGTATCTGTAGTCATGTGAGACACTGGTCTTTAACTTTTCTTTCTCATAATATTTTAGTCACATTGTTATCAAGATTATGCATAAAATGAAATGTGATATGTTCCCTCTTATTTTATATTCTGGAAAAGTATGAATTTTGTGTGTAAATTCTCAGTCACTATATATTCCCATGATACTCAGCAAGGTAATACTAACTGAAAAGGATATTTGGTATAACATATATCTCATCTAATTGGAAGGTCTTTGAATATATATGAAGTTTTAACTTAGAAGATTATTAGAAAAGAGGGACAATGAATGGTAAAGACTGGATGGACATAGAACACTAATGTAATTAATGTAAAGGGAATATAAGCAAGGATCTTGATCCTCTTACCACCTCCAACGTTGACATTTCAGTATTTCTAGAAAATGAATTTTATGCTAGTCATTGATAAACTAAAACTATGATAAAATAAAAATTTGAATCCCATTCCAGTGGCACAATATTCATCAAATAAAACTAATAAACATTTATTATAAGTGCTAAGTAAATATGATATATTTTTGTTACTATAAAGGAATGATTTTTATGTCCCAGTTAACTTTTTTGTCATTTTTTATTGTGGTAAAATATGCATGAAAATTACAATTTTAACCACTTTTAAGTGTACCAAATTATGGCATTAAGTACATTCACATTATTCTGTCACCATCAATCTCCAAAACTTTTTCATCTTTCTCAATTGAAACTGTACCCATTTAACAGTAACTCGCCATCTTAAATCTTCCAATCCATGAGCATGGGACATCTTTCCATCTGTTTGCATGTTCTTTAATTTTTTTAGCAATATTTTGTAGTTTTCAACATGCAGATCTTTCACTTCTTGGTCAAGTTTATTGCTATGTATTTCATTATTTTTTATGCTGTTTTAAATGGAGTCACTATTAATTTTTTTCTGATTGTTCACTGTTAGTATATAGAAACATAACTGATTTTTTTCAGGTGGCTTTTGTATACTGCAACTTTGCTAAACTTGCTTATTAGTTCTAACAGTTTATTTGCATGTGGAATCTTTGGGTTTTTTTTTACATAAGGGCATGTCCTCTGTGAACAGATAATTTAACTTCTTTTCCAATTTGGATGCCATTTATTTCTTTTTCTTGCCTAATTGCTCTGGCTAGGACTTCCAGTACTACATTGAATAAATATTCCACTTAAGTTTTTAAATAGTAGGTAGTATTTTAAGTTGAACACAATTTTCTCTTTTGATAGTATTTTTCTGTGAAGGAAAACTTCTAGCATTGTTTCAGCTCTAATAAATTTTGTCCAAATAGCAAAAGATGAAAAATTGACCCTCTGTTGCCTTTTTCATTTCCATATTAGTTGTACTTTTTATGCTGCTTTTTTCCATCTTTTAAAAAAAGTGTTCAGTCAAACATTGTAGGTTAGAAGTAAAATGATTTATACTGAGAAGTTTCGATTGGCGCAGAAGTCAAGGTGTCAAATAAGGGTTATATTATTTCAATGCCATGCTGGGTGTGGAATACAAACTTTTCACCATGATCTGTTGCTAATTATCTTTGTTTTCCAAGGATAACACTAATTTAAGCAACTGGGCTTGGTACAGAATACATTTTACACACACATTGTTTTTTAATATATGGATATTCAATAATTTGGGAATATCAACTCATATTATAATTAAATTAAGTCTGATGTATTATGTATAGAGATGTATATATTCATTAAATCACTACAAATATACTTTTATGTAAATATATAAAATTATGAATATGAGCTTAATTTTTGTTTTTAATTGTTTTAAACATAATTATTTTGTATTTTTATCAGCTCTGTTACATGCATTTCTTGAGACTCTAATCCTGCTCTTTGTTGTGTTCCTAACTGTTTCTTATAGTAGATTGTTTCCTTATGTGTTATGTAATCTTATTTTGGGAGTACTTCTTTAATGGGATTTTCTTTATGAAGGTCTTACATAGTAGTGATGGCCTGGTCCCCCCCAAAGGAACTTTTATATATTTGCTTCTCTGAGGGACTCAGAGTCTAGGATCACCAGCCTGGGGGACCTTTTCACTATTAATTTCATAGCTAGAGGTTTCCATTTTTGCTTTCTTGTATGTATGAGTAATGTCTTTGATAGGCTATCTTCATTCACAGCATTGGTATAAGAAATAATTTTAAAGCTTAGAAAAATTTAAAATGCTGTGTGAATGCTAATGTTGATTAACAACATACCCTAAAGTAAGAATTGACAGATTAAGCTCCAGTGTGTGGAAGCTTAGGTTCATGACAAACTTTGATTTGCATTCTTTGTTGATTAAGGAATTAAAGTTACTTTTAGCATCCCTGTTCTCAAAAAGTGGTTCATCCAGCATAAAGTGGTTCATTTCTTAGTATCTAGTAGTTGTTCAAAATGCATTTATTTTCAGATAATCTCTCTATTTTTACAGTTATTGGCTTACTTGATTTTAAATTTCAAATAGTTTTATTGTATAGGTATAATCTGAGGTTACCTTACTTTTGTTGTGCTTATGGATATCAATTATATATCTGAGCACCACTTTGAAATTGCAGTTTTGAATTTTTTAAATTCCTAATTAATATTTGCATTTTAAAAGTTCATAACAAATGTTAAAACATTTACTATTTAAAGTATAGTTTTCTCTTGGTGAGTTGGGTCAAAACTATTATTTTTAAATTGTTTTAACTGTAAAGAATTTACTATAAATCTAGTTTTAAAAAGCACACTCTTAACAATTGTTTGTATTAAGTAGAAGTATTTGTTTATATGATTCTTGGATGATTTATACTTTAAACTATGAGTAATTCTTTTCATGTTGACATGTTGATAGGGAGCACCATACTTTTCGGTGAATATAGCCCTAGCTTCCTGAATATCCATCTGGGTGGTGTAGAGGGGGAAATATGAGTGAGAGGCTTAAGTACTGAGCTTAAAAAACAGTTAATCATTTTTCCCACCCTCGCATTGAAATAATGGGAGCAAAGGTAGTGGAAACCACAGCAGGCCACTTGTTACTGTTGACTTAAGTACAAACAGTGGTGGAAGTGTTTAGCCCTTTGGGACGTTTCGTGATTGAACAAGAACTCTGGAGTTATTTTGATAAGGGAGAATAGCAATGTGGCCAAAACTATGATCATCCCTGAGGTCTGAAACAGGCCAAGGATGAAGGGCTGAAGTGTTTGCTCTTCCAGATGAACAAAGATAAATTCAGCTAGGAAAATACACTCAGTATTTTGGTCAATTTGCAACAAAATGGTGAAAGAATTAAACTGTATATTTTGGAACTTGGCATAGAGGTGTGGGAAAATAGTTCAGCATCTCCAATTCTGGCTCGATTTTGCTATAGAATTGGAAATAGAGCAGAAAATTAATGCATAAACATATTTAACAATACCGCACCAAATGTTGTAAATCCAAAACGAAAATTGAAACTCCGTGAGGAAGGAAAGCAAAACCTTTCCTCAGGAGTGCTTACTTATTAAATTTGCAGCCAGAGTTTTCTTAGCATTCATAGTGAATATGCCTAACTGTGATATGAGATGGCTGTTTTTCTCTGCAATTTCCAGGCTTATGATTATGATATTCTTCTGTTTGAGGGAGAATTAATTTATGAATGCTTCTGATCTAAGAACCTATCTGTAAAGAAAGGCACACTGACTACAATATGTTGTCTTTTAGTGAATTTTACTTTGTAAAATGCATCCTTTCCTGGGATTAGTTTATGCTTTTCATTGGATGCTGTGTTATTTTAGACAGCTAACCAAAAACCCGAATTTTTCTATAGCTTCTCAAATTCTAGGAATTTTAATTATAGCAGATATAGGACCACTTATTTTGGAGAAGCATTTATATGAAAACATCACTAAACAGTAAGCTGGGTGCTTTGCTTCATGTAATTGGATCAAGCAATGATTATACTACCTTCAGGATTAAGTCTGTAATTTTTTGTCACTGTAAATCACAGGACACTATTGCTTTACTGTGCTCGGTGCTTAACTATTCCAACAATAAACACATACCTATTGTTTTGTGAAAGTCTTCCCCATTTGGTCTCCTTATGGGGATTCAATGAAATTGAATTTTATTCTGATTAAAAGATGCTGTAAATCTGACGTCAAGGTAAATGTCTTGTGGTAATATATTTACAATATATTTATTTCACAAATATATGAAAGTTGAGTGCTTAGGTTTGTTTTGTTTGAGGTTTTTCTTATCATTCCTATTTCTAAGAGCCAATCTAATGGTTTGAGTAAGAGATTAGTCTGAGAAACTATCCTTACAAAACAGTACGTATACTGATCATGTTACATTGAATTCGATCAAATTTTAGGGGATGTTTTGTTCTAGCTGTTGACTGTTGCTAAATTACTCCTTGGCATAGATGGAGTTAGAAGTTAAAAGTTAGGAATATATAGCACATGAAAATGTGCTAAAATTAGAACGATGACAAAATGAGAAAGACAAGAATTATTAAAAATATGAGTGTACAATTTCTAAGTATCGGTCAAGCTTGATGGTGATAATCATACCTGCTATTTGTGCATTGTTTATTATAGGTAATCACTTTATATTCATGTTCTTATTTAATGTTAACTCTAAGAGGTAAATATTATTATAATAACCATTACTTTAGAAGAGGAATCAATCTGAAAGATTAAATCACATGGCTAATATCTGAAGTTCTTAAACTAATACATCATGCTGCCTACTTGACTAATGTTTAAATATATACACGCACACATATTTTAAACAAATAGTATAATAACATGCATCAGTGTATTGATTAGTATATGTTTATATTATTAGCTTATATTATTAGCATTATGTATTAGCATAACCATTTATATGATTAGCATTAGCATATGGAAAAGTTATAGGTAATAATTAAAGATTTTTTTAAGTTACATGGTGTTGTTTTGTCAACCCAGGGAGATTCTGTACAAGCAGGTGATGATTCACCATTCTCTGATTCTGTTACCTTGGAACAAACTACAAGTAACATCGGTGGATCCAGTGGACGTGTTAGTCTATGGATGCAGTGGGTGCTGCCCAAAATTACGATAAAACTCTTTGCTCCAGATCCTGAAAATAAAGGCACAGGTACAGGATTCCTTTTCTTCTGTACTGTAAAGATAAAATATTAAACACTGTTTTTAGAAAAAAAATCATAGTAGACTTCATTTTATTTGTCATTGCCATTTAAATTAAATAAATGTCATCAGATCTAATTCACATGATTTCTATTAGCAATACTAACATTGAATATTATACCTAAATTTTGTCTTGTTTGTATTAAAATTCATCCTAAAAGCCACGAGGTAATTTCTTCTTGATCATATTGATGTATTAGGTTATTGTCACTAAAAGTATTGCAAAAATCAATGACTGATATCAGATATGACACATAAAACACTAACTATGAACTCCCCTATTTTGAAATAGGTGTCCTATCTTAATTGTGAGGCCTATATTGATATAAATTTTACTTATTATTGCAGAATCTTGTGTAGTTAATAAACAGAAAGCCTCAGTCCCTTTGTAGATGCCAAGAATATACATGCCATTGATTGTGGGTCAGTATTGAAATTAATGTTCACTTCTTATTGCAGAGCTTTGTATGGTCAATGAACTAGAAGACCTCAGTGCCTCCATAGATGTCCAGGATGTATATACCAAAGTGAAATGTAAAGTAGAAAGTTTCAATATTGATCACTACAGAAGCAGGTAAGTAAAGAACAATGATTATGGGAAAGGCTATATTTTCTTTGAACAAAGTATAATAAGAATTTTTACATTTATATTGGTTAGTTATTTTTTAGAAATACAAAGTATAATAAGAATTTTTACATTTATATTGGTTAGTTATTTTTTAGAAATACTATAATTATTCTCAAAGAGGTTTCTTAACAGATAAATTGGTTAATTTTACTTGGTATTCATTCATATGTGAAATATAATAAAGTTTTGTTTCATAAAATGGCAAATTTGTTTATAAATATCCACATTGCCATATTAAATGACATAAGCTGCTTTTATTAATCATCTCTGACATTTGTTACATGGGTTGTTTATTTGCTAAGATGCTTGGGACACAGGTGATGGCTTTGGTTTTTGCTATATCCTTGCCAGCCACTCCCTATAACAGTATAATGTAGATTAAATGAAGCTACATCTCATGTCCCTTTTCACTCCGGAGACTATTCATATTTTCCTTCCCTAATACATTTCTATGAAAAGTATGATTATAAGCAAATATAATTTGTTTATAATGATAAATAACAGTAGTAAAAAGTGAAATTTTAGGTATTTTCACAAAGCTATATAGCAATTTTGTCATTTTTTTCCAAATTAAAATCCAAATCTAAATTGCATCATATTTTAAATTTCATTGTATTTTGTCATTTAATAGCCTTATTTATTTTTTCTCAATTCATAATATTCATTCAAAAATTATTTCTTGAGTACCTGCAGAAGCACATATATTTGTATACCTTTATTGATGTATTATATACCCTAAAAAGGTCTTTTTTATTTAACAGGTTTCTAATTCTACATTAAAACATTTGAATTTTTATCCTTTATCACATATATCACATTGCTCATGTCACGAATTATCCAACTGCCACAGCTGAAAAATTGGGTCGTAATTGTGAAGTTCAAAATATTTTGCTGTATATATTTTAAGATCTGTTATTATAGTATTATCTTGCCAAACATATAATTGTTTTTATTGTATTAATAGTGAATCATTAATTGATTTTTGATTTAGCTCTTTTATTCCTTTTAAATGGTATATCTTTATATCAAAATGATTCTTGCAAGTGATACATGAATAATATAGCTGAAATAATTTCTTGATGATGTAACTATTACAATCTATGTTCTATATCATCTATGACTTTTACTGTGAAATTTAGGATAATTTTAGTAAGTCTTTAGATCATTTACTCATTTCGTTTAATCAAAATATTTATTGAATATGTATTATGTGTCACACACTATTAGACAGTGGATATATCGTGATTAACAAAATAGACATAAATCATGCCCTTGTGGACCTCATAGTCTCATGGGTAAGATAGAACTAAGTCCTTAACCAAATAAATATATAATTTATCATTAAGACAAATGTTTCTGTGCAGAACTACCAGTGTGTGGTGTTAAGTAAATTGTCCTATTGATTGCATCCTCAGATCCACATTTTAGTTCCACTGCTTAGTAGTGTTGTTTCCATCATTACTACTTGAATAGTTATATATGCTCACTTTTTAAATTCAGAATAATTGAAGAGAACAGATAAGGTGAACTTATGTTTTCCAGGCCAGGGGAAGGTTGGCAGTCAGGACATTTTGAAGGAGTATTTCTACAGTGCAAAGAAAAACCTGTGGTGAGACTCATTTAGTAACTATGATTTTTTGAAAATATAAACTGTTTATCTTTGTTCTTTCATGCAGTAGGACAAATGGTTACAAGAATTAGAGCTCAGAATAATTTTTGACCTATTTTTCCAAAATTACATTGTAAAATGAAACTATTATTTTAGCTGCTTCTGTTTTGTAACCATTTTTCCTGAATAACAAGTAAATTTTTCCAAAGGTCAAAGGTAAGATTGCTTTTATTAATATATTTTAACATTAATGTGTTATTATATTGACTTTTTAGAAGTTTTTCTAATTCATAAGGGAGCCATGTGAATTTTTTTTTAATCATAAACTAAAAGTAGTCATTTTACACTAAAAATACCTCATTTTTGTTTATTTCCATTAACAATACTTTTGCAGAAGATGGTCCAGACACAAGTCATACCTAGCAGTGGCTCAAATCTAAACCTATAAAACTTGAGCAGAATTAAAAGTATTGAGGTGTTTGCTTATGGCTTTTATTGCTTTTTGTCTTTTCACCTTCTTTGCTCCTGTCCATCACCTCAAGCCTTGGGAAAGAGTGTTGGTCTCTGGGGCAGTGTGGAGGTGTCTTCCTTTCCTGTACTGACAAGCTGAACAGACGCACCTTGTTGGTTCGACCCGTCAGCAAGCAGGACCCTTTCAGTAATTGCTCTGGCTTCTTTCCTTCTGTAAGAAATCATTTTTAAATTATGCTACAGAACTCCCATTAACAGGAACCCAGAGAAGGGATTGAACTGTTCATAGAGGCAACTCTTGATTTTCCTTTCCCTCTGTACCATCTTACTTTGTAAATGAGCTATCATTACTTTTTAAATCATAGACTGGTTTTCCACTGTAATCTGATTTGTTTCTGGGTTACTTGCCTATGCTATGTATTCCCCTGGTTTTATGAATACAAACTAATTTTACAAACACCATAAAAAGTTAAAAACGGATGTTAAATATGTTTTTTAAATTATGCATGTGTTGTAATCAAGAATTGACCATACTGCTTTTGTCATTCCTTTTATGATTTTTTACTCAGTTTGCTTCTCCCACCTTTTATTATGCCATTTCCTTTTCACAAATAATTCAAAGCACCTTATGTGGTACCCTGTTGAATCTCTGGAAAAGGCTGTATGTCCTTTGTTGACTGGATAGAAAATGAACACTAGACTACACAACATGGCTTTTAGAAGTCTGGAACCTGGTTTTTCTTAACAGTACAAAGCATCTGAATATATTACTAAGCTAATCATTTTAAGTGACTTTTTAAAAATCTTCACCCAAGAATATGTTATTGATTTTTAGAGAGGGAAAGGAGAGTGAGAGAAACATTGATATGAGAGCAACATTATTCAGGGAATCGAACCTGCAACCTGGGTACATGCCCTGCCTGGGAATGGAATCCACAACCGTTTTGGTGTACAGGATGACGCTCCAACCAGCTGAGCCACCCAGCCAGGTCTAAGTGGCATTTTTAACTTAGTAAAAATACATGTATTTTAAATTATTAAGAGCAGATTATCACAATGGTAATAGTTATTGTCTTGAGAATTTATTAAATTATTGAAAACATTAGATATGTAATATAAACTACTTATCTACTTCTTTCCCCTTTTTTTGTAAATCAAAAGAAATTTAAAGCATATATCTTTAGAATTTTAAAACTTAGCCAAGTATTTTAAATCATTTTGTTCCTAGATTTAATCTTTAATATTTATTGGCATGGCAAATGCTCGTTTTCTGATTTGCGTTTTGAATTTTTTTCTAGCCGAGTCTGGAAAAAATAGGTCTCTTAATGTGACTTTGGTTGGAGAAAGTTCTGTTTAGATTTATTTTCTTCTCTTTGAAGGTTCATTAGTGTCCATGGAAAACATTCTTAATCATTTTAACGTATATTCATGAAAAAAACAAAATTATTAATGTCCTTTAAAAATGTTCTTTATCAACTGCACTATTTTTTATTTTATTAATATTGCCTAATTATTAGTGTTATTAATAATTAGTGTTTCCTAATTATAAAATACTGATTATTATTGTATGAAAAGTAATTATATATTAACTCCAGCTAGTATTCACTCATTTTTTCTTCCCCTCCCTTATTTTTTTTTTTAATCTTTTTATATTTTTATTGATTTCAGAGAGGAAGGGAGAGGGAGAGAGAGATAGAAACATCAATGATGAGAGAGAATCATTGATCGGCTGCCTCCTGCACTCCCCCTACTGGGAATGGAGCCTGCAACCCAGGCATGTGCCCTTGACCGGAATCCAACCTGCGACCCTTCAGTCCTCAGGTGGATGCTCTATCCACTGAGCCAAGCCGGCTAGGGCATCCCCCCCTCTAATCTTAAGTGAGTTATGGATTCAGTAGTTTAACAAACAAGCTATCGCTTATGGGAGTTTACCTTTTAAGAGTACCTATATTCAGTATTCTAAAAATATTTTTTTTAATCGAAACATTTACCAGGGGTCCTCAAACTACGGCCCGCGGGCCACATGCAAATACAAATATTGTATTTGTTCCCGTTTTGTTTTTTTACTTCAAAATAAGATATGTGCAGTGTGCATAGGAATTTGTTCATAGTTTTTTTTTAAAACTATAGTCCGGCCCTCCAACGGTCTGAGGGACAGTGAACTGGCCCCCTGTTTAAAAAGTTTGAGGACCCCTGATTTAGACATTGAAATACCTTTTACATTAACTCCAGGATTCAAATATTGTCATTAATGAAGATTTGAGTTGGGTTATTTAGATCAGTTGTTGATTCTACTCCCTCTCCAACATCCTGTTTGGACACCCAGAGACAGACAAGTGTTGCTGGCCTCTTCTACCAGGGCCACACCACAGCCACCCTCCTCCGCCTACTGCTGCCAGATATTCAGCAGCGCGGTGATAAGAGTGGTAGTAATTTTTCCTGCTTTACCGGGTTTCCTTTTGTTTTGAATATAGAAAGCAAATGGAAAGAAAAATCTGAAGAGGGGCAATGAGAAAGTTAGGAACAGTAAAAATATGTTCTGAGGGCAGGACAATTATATGAAAAATTATTATATTGCACACCCATTTAATGTCTACTTCCAAGTTTTCTTAGTGCTCATGAAATTAACTTTAAAAAAGTAACATATAGTACAAAGGTAAATTTTATCTCACCTTTCTTCATCGTAAAGTCCTGATTAAAAACAAAATCAACAGTGAGAGCTGAATTGCATACTTCTTCCCCTCTGTTGCCTGTCATTGAGTGATAGGCAATAACACAAGAAGAAGAAAGTGGAGGCGAAAGAGGTTCACTAGTGATGGGGT